CATATACATTATGCACTTAACAATCAGTACAACAAAGCAAATGGACATATACATGTCCACGTAGTAAGCTGATGCATGCTTGATTCCTAACAGCTATAACCAACTGTTCATCTCTTCAAAAACTATCATTTATGATCATGAGTCAAAACTTGTAAACTTTAGGCTATGCTTGGTAAGAAGGATGGAAAGATAAAAGGTGCAAGTGGGCCTAATATCTTTAAACAATACAGATCTGGAAGCAGAAGCCACTGCTCCTATGGATTAATTATTGCAGATGATGGTGGTGAATGCCAATGAAGGCGTTGTGTGCAATGGACAAAAGTAGTTGGCTCTTGAGATTGTTAAAAGAATAATAATGCAGAATGAGAGTGCATCTGAAGGTAATATATCAATAAATTACTGTATGTTGCTAGCTTCTGCGCACTGCAGGCGATTTTTCAGAATACTGGGAGTACTTAAATAGATTATAGGAAGGCTTTATATATTTCTGCCTTCTGAGTCCTCTTTCCAGCAGTTAGTCTTCAACAGATCCGTATACTGATTGAAATGAAATATAAATCTACTTTTATATCCTGGTAGGCAGGCATATGCCTCTTTGAGTTGAACTGAGGAAATAGTTACCAAATCCCCACCTCTGTTTTTATTATTCTATACCTAGAACTCTTATGCTTTCTTAATTCTTTGAAATTGATGATATAAGTATCACTATGACTACCCTTCTTTTGTTTCTTCTCTTTTAGGATGTCAGCAGGCCTATTTCAGATTGCCTATTACGGTTCACTGCTGAAAGGCCTTGAACTACTTACCTGTCAAAAATTAGAAAAAAAAAAAGAAAGGGAACAAGAAACACAGAGAAGCAAATCTAAACTGAATGGTTCCCCGGCATCCCACTTTACGTTTTTTTATGTTGTGAATTAATAGAAATTTTTGTCAGATTTATAAAGCGGACAACTTACTTCAACTCTCATCAACAACATGGGAGGAGTCCGGATGAATAAAATTTGTTTATTTAGTTTTATTGCACTACTGAAATCTGGATGGTTCCATGGATGTTAACATCAAGGGCATATGCTTTTCATGTGAGAAAGGAACATTTAGTAAAGAAAAATTAGAACCAACTTTTGCAATTCGTGTACTGTCTCTTGGTCATAATATCGTTTGTTGCATTATGCCTTAATTTGTTGAGTGTTGGCAGCATCTTAAAGCTCTTCTTCCTTTTCTTTTTATTTCTTTTTCAATCAGTTGTTTATTAATCTTTAAATAGATTATTAGTGTTAATGCTGTTTTGCGGATAGAAGGAGTGTTATGACTTTGAATAGATAATCTCTTACCAAACCTCTTTAAGGCCCCCAACCACCTGAGCTAAGGCCCAAATGGCATTTTCTATTAATTAATTGAGGCACTCTTAATTTGCTTTCCTCCTCTCATGGGATAATAGATATAGTCCCACTCCCATAACAGTGTCTCAGATTCTGTGATTGCATTTGCATGTAGGAACTGTTAGCTATATATATAAAATGACTAGAACCAATGGAGTAACTGGGGAATTGCAAAAATTATTGTCTGTTGGATTAAGAACTCCAAGGAAATGCTCTTGGCAGTGCATATTTTTAAGTAAAACGGGGGCCCCAAGACCAAAATTTTTTTTGTTTAATAGAGACGAACAGGGAAGAATGGGATGCGACAGATACAACGAAACATGGAAATACTAACATTAGACATACATTGTTTATACTCTTAACTGCTCTCCAAGTCCCAATCAAACTTGGAAATAATTAAGAAACAATGGCAGTTGAACAGAAGATAAACAACATATTTTTGTCTGTTGTTGAAACTTCAGACAAATTGAGAGAGGGGAGGGGAAAGAGTACTGGGGCTTTACTGCCGCAGCAAATTTCTAAGAATCTCCGCATCTAAACTAGTCATATCCATGGAACCTAGACATTGAGATAGTCTCTCGCTCAAATCATCGATCTCTGCTTGTAATTTTCTGATGTAACTGCATGTTTCGCTCAGAACCTGTGTTGCTGATTCCTACAAAATAAAATCATAGAAATAATGCTCAGCAATGGAAAAGCTTCATAAGCAGAGACATGAAAATATATACACTCAAAGTCCCACTGCACAGCTTTATTCTATCGCTGCCACTGTTTTCATGATTTGTCCTCCTCGTTGGAAGGGTTTTCTGAAGCTACTTCTTTTTAGTTTTTTACTTGTGCTTGGAGAGTACCAGAAAATCATATTGCTGTTATTATCATTTGGAATTCAGTCCAGCAGGTCTGCGCATGATCATTGCAATAGATTCCGAATTAAAATAACATTTCTCCAAGATGCAGGCTCTGTGTTGATTACTGTCCAGTTATGATCAGAATAGTCTCATCCTGAAGAACCTAGCTAACATATTCGGTCACTTCACCCTTGTCAATGACAGGACAAAACTATTAGTATAAACAAGCAAACAACATTACGGCACCCAGCTTTGATAAAGTGAAACAAGAAAGGAGAATTTAAAGCAAAAGAGAGAGAAAATTTTAGGCTCTACCCTGCCATTGCGGCATCGATTCGGCTGTGGCAGCAATGTCTGTAGATTTAAGATGAGAGCACTGAGCTCATCATCCGTGATTTTATTTGAAGCTCTTGATCCTTGGCTAGACATGAAGAAACCTAGCTAGCTTCTTGCTCTCTTTAACACTCTCTTGTCACTAGTAGTGGGGAGTTCGAAAATGGAGGGCACAGGCAGCTTATAAAGAGACTTTGAGGGTGGGAATTGCAGGACAAGGTAGTTGATAAGAACATATACAACAAAAACATTGCTGATTTACATACAGTCCAATAGGACCCCATTTGTCACATATTTCTGCATTATATAGGCCCACCAACTATGTAGGCCATGGTCAATCAAGTCCGCAAAAATGCCCTTGATTTTTGTTAATGCAAAGCATCTATATCTTAAAAGGCCACGTGTCCCAATCTAGGTTGTATGTGTTGTATATGGAGAGCGACTGAGCATTACAATTCCACGTTACGATCATGTTAACAGAGACTTCGCATGGAAAGGAAAATATAGAATGGCAAGAAAAAATTTATAGGATCTGTTCATTGGATGTAACTAATCAGGATTTAAATATTTTTAAACTTATATAAAGTACAGATGTTTACGTCTTACCAAATTGATACCTTTGTCTCTTGTGCGTTTAATGAAGGCACAGCTCTTTTCTGTTTGTCTCTTGCATTTGCCTTCTGGAGTGTCTATCGTAGAACATGTGTTATGGTTCACGCTCACATTTAAACCTCTTTTATTTTTTCCAGAAAGGTGAAATCCCATTGCAAGTTGGCCCATCAAAATCTAATCGAGATATGGTAGGATCTAGACAACTGTGGGTGATTGAAGGATGGCCTTGCTCAGACTGACATAGGAACAAAAATGGATCACCTCCATATTTCTTTATAGGGTTAAGAAAACCGAACTCATGAGTTAGCCTTGCCCCTTGAGAGCTAGGCAACTTTAGACTCTGTCGTCAATTGTCAGTCCGTATAAAACGTAAATTACAATAATATTGGGGAGTTGCTAAAGGAAACCCCTTCGCCAACACCATTCCAAATTCGTGCAGGAGTACTACAACTTACAAGGCCTATGAGTAAGCCCCGAGCAATATAGACAAATGCCATTTTCAATTATTTTCTAGGCATGCAGTTGTGCATTTAAACTATATGGCAGTCTCTTGCCGCCTCAGCTAGCTCGGTCCCCTGGCTCACTCAAATTGCCTAATACAAACGTGTGGGATTGGAATAGGTTTGACTGCAATCGTTAAATTTAATAGAAAACGCAACAATAAAAAATAATATAGCATTTTGTTAAAAAAAATTTAGTTATAATAAATTTATTTTTCAATTTGTAGTTACAATTGCTTTCAATTGTAATTTTTAATCGTAATCACCAATACTCACAACCACAATAACCAACTTATTAGAATTTGATATTCAAATCTCAAAATATTTAAATTTGATTTTTTATTGATTAAAAGCTATTGTTTAGTAATTATGTTTATTAGGTTGACGAGTTTGCTTGATGGAAAAGAAAACTATAAATATAGAAGATTCTTGGTGTGTAAGTTAATGGGGTATAAATATAGGAGAGTCTAATAGGGTGAGGTATGAGAGAAAGATGTAAGTAGAGTGTTAAAGTTTATAGAGTTGATAGGTGTAGACGCTTCATGCATAAGTGTGAGCTTGAGTGAGTTCTTGAATGTTAATGTTGATATGTTTGTAGTTCTTTGTAATTAGTAAATCTCTTTTCGTCATTGTAGATGAATTAAAATGCCAAATCACCTTAAATTCTTATTTCTTCTTATGAATGATTTTATTCTTGGATTACATTTTTGCTTACATAACTATTACTTGATATTTAGACGTTGGTAATAACAAATCCAAAGATAACCTTAGTGCATCCATGGCGAGAAATGCGAGTGCAAAACATGATGTGACGATGCATTGAGGAAGAAGATGAACAAATTCAACGTGACTAAACTTGGAGGAGGACGATAGGCAAAAAGAGGAAAAAAAAAACAATAATTTGGTGTATGCAAGTGTTTTGTCTTCATTTACCGACCTCATAATTTGGCCCTAAATTTCCGGTGGCTGACCGTACAGTTTAACTTAAATGGTGCTGTCTGCATGGCCACGTGGCACAGTGGAAATAGGCATGTAGGCATGGAGGCATCTAAGGCTTGAGGCCTTCCTACCCTTGGTGATAGAAATTCATAGAAAGGCACTGTCGTTGTCTATGGACCCTGAGTCCTGACTTCTTCTCTCTCAAAGTTTGAGCAAAGACAGCTATTGCAACGGTTTCAATTAATTGTAAAGTAAGGCTGCTGTTAAATTAGAAAGAAAACCAAACAAAAGTTTTAAGAGGAATAGGGATCTATAGAAGATGTTGTAAACTTGGAGACCGGATTAAGTGGTTCTTAATTAAATCTTAAATTCGAAAGATTTTGGAGTTGGAATTTAGTAATGGTGCGTTTAATGTTAGACTTAGGCAATGACTAAAAAGAGATTAGTCTCTCGAGTGCAAGAGCATGCCATGCATTTTCAAAGGTCAACAATTAAGATCAGTGTTTCCAACAGCTCTTAGATACGATCTTTTACCTGACATATCGTCTGTCTAAATTCCTCCTCATCAGCATGGAAATCCCCTTTAATTTTGCACAGCGTGATTGCTTGGACTTTGAGTTCAATTCGTTATGCAACTCCACCGCAGTATTCTATAAGCAAGAGAAACACGAGCAGAAATTCTACCAATCTAGCTGCTTTGGAATCTTGGATGTTGTAATTTATGGCTTGTGCCTCTCAGAAATACATGACTACCGAAAGTTAAGACCTTCAATGTAAAAGTTTTTATAAACAAGGAAATATATGCAGCACTAGAGTCTACGTATCAGCATATTTCCATTTAAAAACAGAATGTAAAAAATTGCTTTGTTACGAAGGATTCCATTGAGGGATTTTAAAATATATTAAATAAACATTATTCTTTCTTATTCATAAATCTAATGTTTAACTCCACACTTGCTCTATTTTTTACTCTCATTTATAGTTTGTGACTGTACTGTATGATCTAAAATGTACATGAAGTGCAGATAATATAAATTTTTGAATGGGCAAATAATATAAATTTGAGTAAAATATCTTCACTCTCTTAAGTTTTAATTAAAAATATACGAAAGTCAATTAATTTTAAAAGTGAACACTCCACTCTAAAAAATTATTATTTTTTGGACACATAAGTAGAGTCGATTAATGTTTCTGTTACTTTGATGACGTGATAAAAGTAAAAAAATAATTTTATTTTTAATTAATTTTTA